GGCTTTCAGTGCCCTTCGATCCTCTTCAGCGTCGGCCTCGCGCTCTGCATTCGTTCTTGCAGCCAAAAAAATCGAACGTCCAGGTGTCGTGCAGCTCCAAGTCCCAGTTGGCTCGCAATTCCTCTCGCGGCTGAGCTGTCGCAGAAAATGCGCGCGCTCCATGTCGTGGTCTACGTCGACCGGGGTGGGTCAGCGTCGCCCGCGCTCCAAGACCGTGGCAGGATCCACGCCATTGCGCATGGTGCTCGGTTTCACCGCTGCCCAAACACACCCTGGACGGAACTGCCGTGTTTCAGCAAATGCGACCCCCATAGTCGTGCCATTCCGCCTCGAGAGCGTGCTATCGCAGCAGGCGCACGCCTTCGTCGGCAGCCTCTCCGCGGGAACCAACAACCTCTCGCCAGTGTACTTCTTCGCGTGAGGGCCGCGGCGCTTCAGGTCATCCACGTTGGTATTCCTTCATATGTCTTGCCTGCAGTTTCGCGCTGTCGCTGAAACTGGGTATGTCCATGCTCGGGCGCGTGATCCTCGCGGTCGCGCTGCGGTAGGTCTTGGTCTTCTCGTCGTCCAGCTTCGGCAAGGCCCGGTCGTTGTTCAGAAATCCGCCGCCGACCTCTCGACGGCCGAAGTGGCAACCTCCTTCGCGCTCTCCAGGCCCAGATCCCTGATCACCTCCTTCGCGCGCCGGGCGTCTGCCTCGAGGCGCGCCGAAAGCTCGAATGGGTTCCAGACCAACGCCCGGTGGAGGTGCACCACGCTCTGCTCCTTCAGCGGCTTGCTGCTCAGGATACCCGTGACCTTGGAAGTCGTGGCGCGACAACGCGTCGTCGCCGAAGTCGTCGTCGTGGACCTCCACTTGCACGTGGCGCTCGGTATGGTAGAGTAGAGCTGGGTTCGAAACTCCTTTCTGGAAGCCGCGTGAGTTTGTCAGGCCAATGTGGTCGTCTTGCCAAACGTAGCTGGCATCCGCTGCGCCGTGCATCGAGTGCAGTGGCTTGCCCGCCATCGGCTCAAGATCGCCTCGGGCTTCCCCCTCGGGTAACTCCATGTGCACCTCGCGATTCACGTCGCCGTAGAAGTGCGCCATTGAAACTTCGCAAAGCTTGTGAATGATCCCCGCGGCGTCGCCATCGCGGCAGGCGTTGTTCGCGCGCCCTGCGAAGATAGTTGCCATTGCCGTGAACGCTTCTAGTGGGGAGTAGCCGTGAACAGCTGAGATTGACATGGTTGATCTTCTTACTTCGTCGTCATCCCGGCCCCCCTCGCAACCAGCCTCGAGCAATATCGTGGTTGAGTCCGATCGCCCCAGTTCGTGTCGATCCACTTTAGGGTAACTGCCTTCTTGCCCTTCGTGGGCATCTCCCATCTGGGTACCTTCTGCCATATCTGCCTTCCGCGGCACCATTCCAGTTCTTCCTGCCTCGCAGCTTGCGCGCCCACGGAATGGAGAACGTTGCCCGTGAGATCGTCTATGAAGTAAGTCGTCCTGGTACTCGCCAAGCACCTCTGCCCTCCTCGCGTGAATGGGGCCCTCCACAAAGAGCTGCCAGGGTGGCGGCCCCTCGCGTCGTCGGTGGTCCTCTCTCGGGCCTTTGAGTACGGCTTCCACCCAGCGGGGAGAACACCGTCGTGCGTGTCTAGCGCGCCCATCGACCAAGTGCACATGGCGAGATAGTTCATCGTTCGGACCTCTAGGACACTCGCAGTGGCCCTCGAGGATCTTCGCGAGCAACTTTCTGTTGGTGAGCCACCCGGTCTCCTTCCGAACGAAGCCCGGCTTCCCGTCAGGGCCGGTCGCCTGCATGCACCAACGGAATAGGTCCATGGACTAAGAACACATTTGCCAGCTGCATAACCCCCTGGACGCTCGGGCGGCGCCAGCTGCTCGCTGACCAAAGCCCCCCGTGAAGAAATACCCTTCCGGCCTTGTGCCGCTCCTTGCAGACCTCCATGCAAAAGTTGAAGTGTGTCTCGCCCTCCAGGATTCCTGCCCCTCGCTCTTCGCATCGCGCTTTTGGTCCGAGAACTTGCGCAGGTTGGTGAATGGTGTGCGCAGCGGGCTAGTAATCGTGAGCAGCGGGTCTTCCTTCCCAAGCTGCTTCTTGCGCTCGCTGCGTTGCTCGGAAAGTCGTGGAACCCAACTGGTCTCGATGTCCACCGCCAGGCCAGACGTGAGACCGTACCTCAGCGTCATCTCAGCGATGCATACAACGCACATCTGAGTAAGTAGCGACGAGATCTCCTCAGCCCGCTCTGGGCGCTGATCGCTGTTGTCGATGTTGGCGCACGAGCGCGTCTCAAATACCGCCAACTGGTAAATCCTTGCGAACGTACCGCCCTTGTCGTACCCGGTGGTCTTCTCATGCCCATTGGTCTGTATTGTGTCTGGTTCGGTCTCGTAGCCGATGCCGATGCAGGTGCCGAACTCGCCGGCGATACCTGGGGCATGGGTGTGTCGACCAGGTCCCCCACGTGCATCTGCGCCTCCTCGATGGATACCCCTCGCTTAAATGCGAAGCGGGTCTCTGCAGCTTCAGGCGCTGTCCTTCCTGGCGCATCCCCTCGAAACCCTGTGGCTCGTCCAGGGTCGGATGCGACCGCTTGGCGCTTCTTGCCAGCGCTCGGATTGCTTCCGCCGCCTCCGGTCGGCGCCACTGCTGTCGCGGCGTCCTTCGGCTCTGGGGCGGGAGCCTGGCCCCCGTCTCCAGTGGGCGGCGGTTGCGCAACTTGGCATCCGGCAGGTGCTGGTTGATCTCGAACTTCTCGGCCAGGTGCTGGATGTTCCTCAGCTCGAAAGTGGTGCTCGGTTACTCGCGCCCTGTCCTCAGGGTCGCTCATCATCAGCTCCGCGATCATGTCGCGGCACTCTTCGCGGGGGAACTTGAGATCTTGCCCTTCTGCGTCAACTCCATACACCTGGGGCAACCTGAAGTAGCTCCGTACTTTTCCACGTCACGGCGCAGGACGTACCTTGCTAGAGGCTAGAGGGGCTCGTGGCTCCATCCTCGCGGTAGCCGCCGCCACCGGCGCTCTCGCCCGAGCGGGCGCCTTCTCGCCTGGGCGGGTGGCCCGAGGAAATCCTCGAAGAGCGCCCCAGTCCTTGCCGCCCCAGGCCTGCCCCCTCGGCGACTTCTCGAAACCTCGGGCCTTTTCCGCGCCGTCAGCCGCCATGACGAACAGGGCCCCCGTCCGCATATGGCAGCCCAGGAATTCCCCAGACTTCGCGCGATCCTCCACGGTGCTCCTGCGACCACCTGGCGCGAGCGGCCAGCGCATCGCCCGCTCGCCGAACTCCGCCACCAGCTTCTTCCAATCGCGGCCTGGGCGCCGCTGCTCTACAGGGGGGCCGTCTGTTCCGCGTCGGCACTGGCCAAGACAGGCTGCGGCATGCTGCGGCAGCCACTTCAAAATGGGATGCGCGTCGTCCACCGTCTTGCCGAGCTTGGCCTCCAGGGCGTGCCTGTTCGCCCTGATCTGTCTCTTGACTTTTCGTGCAGCAACTTCGATGCTTTTATTGATTTGGCATTCTTTTGCTGGCGGTTCTCGCGGCGGGAACTCCACCGTCGGCGCCGCGACCGCATCCGCTGTCTTGCGAGACCCGTTCGCGGGCTCCCTGTCACTCTGGAAAATGAGCTTGCGGCGGCCGAGGTGCAGGATAAAACCCATCGGGGTCTAAATCGGGAAGCCATTGACCTTCATGCCTGGAATCGCAGACGAGCAGGGCAACTTATCCTTGGTATCTCTGGCCGCTAGCATCGGGCAGTTGTCCTCCTGGACCTCAACCTCCTCGCCGGTCTCCCCGCCCACTAGTCATGAGCTCATGCGAAGTCGATGGCCACGACTGGGTCTGCACCTTCACGCGGTTCAATTTGTAGCTCGCGCGTTTGTCCGAGTCCTCGGGCTGCGCGGCGACCTTCGCGCCAATCCCTAAACGCGGCATGGCCGGTAGCCTCGCGTCGACCCACCTCGGCCTGGGTCGGCGGCCTCTTGCGCCCCCGAGCCTGCGCCGGCGCAACTTCCTGAGAACGGCGCAACTTCCTGAGACCTGCCGTCCTAGTCTTCGCCACCCTGGCTCCCGTCTCCGTCTTCAGCGCCTCGGCGAGCGGGATGTCAAATCCCCGCGGCTGGCGCAGTCAGTCTCGCGGTCGGCCCCGGCGGCGGCGCGCCCGGCAACTGCGAGGCGCCCGCGCCCCCCCGCGGCACCGTTGCCTGACAGTGCGGGCCCGCGCTCGCCGGCGACCAGGGACAGAGGTCGACCGCCGCGGGCCCCGACGAGGCAGCTGGCATCGGAACGCCCATCAACGCGTTCATCTTGTAGACGCCACCTTGCAGGCACAGCGGCGCGACGCCCTCGCTCTCTTCAGCCGCGCGCTGGCCGATCATCTGGTGCACCTTCCCGGCGAACTCGCTGTCCTTCAGGACGTATCCACCGAAAGCGCCGATGCAGGTTAAGCGGCCCCTGGTGGCAATTGCCGAGGCAGATAAGAGCGGCTTTCCGATGTTCGCGCGCCTGCGCTTTCAGGAGCACGCGCTCGCCGTGCTCTGACACGCCGTCGATGCCGACGACGCCCTCGCCCCCTGCAATCTGGTGGGAGCTGCCATCGGGCTCGCTGCGCTCGCCCTCGAGCGGAACGGCTGTCGCCGCGGCGCTGGTGTCGCAGGTCATATTCCATTTCATTTCATACGCAATGGTTGCGTCGGGCCGGGCGCGCGCCGGCGGCGCGAGCTCGGGCCCTCAGCCCCTGCGGCGCGGGCGCCATTCTTCTCCGCGAGGGGGCGGGGGGGGGGGGGCGGGGGGCGCGCCCGCGCGGGCCGCCCCCCGATTGGTAGAAGTCTTTCACTGCCCTCGTGGAGACGGCCCCCGAGCATCATCGCGGGGGGCACGTCGTGGCAAGCAGGTGCTTGGCAAGTCGTGGCTGGGCAATGTCATCGTCGTCGCGGCGCGGCGTGGCGTAGCGCCGCGAATCGTCGTCACCGATCATCGAGACATGCCCAGCCATGTAGTCTGAACGTATCCGCCTGCACCCGCCCCCTCTCCGCGCGCCACGCCGCCGGGCTCAGCGGCGGACAGCGAGTAGCTCGTCGCCCATGCGCGCAAGAAGACACGCAATGACTACGCGGTGGCTCGCGCGAGAGACGACGGAGAAGCGGCGGAAGGGGGGGGGGGGCGGGGAGAGGGGCGGGTGGCTGGATGCGCAGGCAAGGCCCCCTCCCTGGGCGCGGATGGGATCTGGTCGACAGCCCCCCTCCCCGCGGCCATCAAATTGGCTGAAGCCCGCCGCGCATAAGGGGCATCCAGGGACACAGAAAAACAAACAACAACAACAAACATAGAAGGGCCCGCAGGGAGCGCGACGGTGAGGCGGTCAGACCAGGGGGGGAAATGGCACAGTCGGCGAGGCACTGTTTGCCTTCACTTCCCAGTCGGCGCCATAAGTCGCCAGCCCACTTCCCGACGCGGGGCCGATCCACTCTCGGAAGGGGGCGCGGCGCGGATGCGAAAGTGATCCTGGAGGCGCGGATCGCGCTAGAATTGACCTCGCGGTCTGCAAGGCTCTCGCGGGGGGCCCCGCCAGACCAGGGGGGGGGGCAGCTCGGAAGACCAGGGGGGAATTGGCGCAGCAGGGGAGAGGCAGGAGGGCGAAGGCGAAAGGGCACCGCGACATGAAATGCACAAACGCACGCGGGATCGCGGCGCTGACCCGCCCCCCCGCAGAGCGCCCCCTTTCCTGTCGACGCCGCAGCAAACAATCATGATGTTCATAAGGAATCCAGTGCCTGACCGCCGCGCCGCATAGGGCGTCGACCGCAGTGGGCGCGGGCAGAACAAGACTGGGCGCGGCGAGAAAAGGCCGGGACAGGTGAGAGGCGCGCGCGCGCGATAGCGACGCGCGGGCGGGCGTGAGAGGGCAGCCCCCTCACGGGGGGTCGCCAGGGCCCCGCGGCCGCCGTAGCCAGCAGCTGCCTGGCCGGTTGCCGCGCGGCCGCACGTCTCCGGCTCGCCTTGGGGGCGCGGCTGAGATGAGCTCCGCGCAGGGGCCGAAGAAGGTGAGGAGCTCCTCGATGTTGCGCTCCAGCGCAGAGCGGGCCCCCTAGGCGATGAGCTTGCCCTGGGAAGCGTTCAGGGGCTGCACAGAGAGCTTGGACCGGGGCTGCGTGGCGAATATGATGTCGAGGCCTGGCTGGGGCGCATCTCCAAGGATGGGCACATATGGGGAGCTCGGCGCCCACGAGCGCGGGCGCAGCTCCTCCGCCGCCCATCCGCGAGCGGGCGATCGCGCGAACGACGTCGATGCCCATGGCAGCCGCAGCGTTGCGGGGGTCAACCTTTGACGCCATGGCGGGCGCGAAATTTGCCTGCGCGTCGACGCGGCCGTCGCCTCTCTCTTCGCCAGCAACTTCGTGGAGCCCCATGAGCCAACCAGCCTGCGACTGCTGGAGCTGCGCCCGCGTTTGGAGTCCGGCGCGCGCCGGGGGGTTCGCGGCCAGGTCGGGGAACTCAGGGTGCGTGACTGGCCACAGGCGCGCGAGCTGCACTCGGCGCGGCGCGGGCGAGTGCAGGGGCCGCAGCGCCAGGCGTCGGCGCGCTGACCGTCGGCTAGCTGGGGGGCGCCGCCGCGGGCGCCGCTGCAGAAACCACTGGCGACGAGCGGCGGTGGAGCTTCGCGCCCTTCGCCTCTGCGGCGTTTGGGTCGAGGTCGCGCCCGAGGTTTCGAAGCTCAGAGTGGCAGCCGCCTGGCTGCATTCGCCGGCCTGCGAAGCAGAGGCGGCCAACTGCGCGCTGGCGGGTTTCTGCTTGTTCCCCTCGAGGTCGTAGAGGCTACCTCGGCGAACGCTGATCCGTGGGCATGTTCGGCCCTTCGCGTCAATGCCGTAGTTATTGCCTGTACCTTTGCTCTGTCCATGTCTTTCGGCTTCCAACAGTCTGCAGCTCGGTGAACTTTCTTTCCGCAATTCCAGCGCGTTGAGTTCGGGTCGTTTGTCGCGCCTTTGCCGTTGCCTTTGCCTTCGCGGCCCTTGCCCCCGCCGTTGCCGCCTCGTGCTTTGCCGCCACTCGCGAACGCGTCGGCTTCCATCGGGCCCCCTCGAGCTCGACCGAGGGCCCCTTGCGCTCGTCGAGTCTCCAGGAAGCCCCTGACTGACCCCCTTGCGCGCAGACGGGTGGTCCTGCAGCAGGGCACGCTTCAGGGCAAAGGGCATATCCACGTCCTGTGGCAGGAGGCTTTCGAGTGCGCTCATCTTGATCTCGTCGTCGAGGTGCATGTCTCGCCCGTCGGTTCGTCGCCTATCGTCGCGCCCGATCAGTTCTTCCCACTTCTCGGTCCTCGAGCTTCAAGACTTTTCTGGGCGCCGGGATCTTCTTGAGCAGCACTCGGCGGCGACCGCCGCTAGTGGGGCCCCAGCGCCGCGCCAGTCGACGCGGGGCCGATGCTCCGTTGCCTTGGCCGGCGCCAACCACTAAGTCGAACGACTCGCCTTCCGTGAGCGAGATGAACACCGCGTTGAGCTGCGGGAACTTCTCGTCCACCTCGTCGACTTCCTCGCCGTCGTCCGCGTCGTCTAAGAGCTGCACCGCCGCCGCCGCGGTGGCGAGCGTCACCGGATCGTTGTCCTGGCCAACGGCCCACTCAATCACTGGTTGGAAGTTCACCCCGAACACGCTGATCACATAGCTGTCGAGCTTCTGCAACCACTCGCTGAAATTCGACTCCTCGTTCTTGGAGGCCTGTGGCTTGCCGATGACCTTCGCTTGAATCGACTGCGGCGCTGTCGGCGTGGGACCTGGCGCCGCTAGTTTCCCCACTATCTCTCCGAACGTCCTGACGAGCTCAGGCGCGCCAGCTTGCGGCCCTTGTTGTCCTTGTTCTGCATTCTGTCGTTGCATTTATCCATCCGACAGCTTGCTGCGCCTGCTGCGCTGCGTTGCGCAGCTCGTCGAACGTGCCCTGGTGGAGCGCCATCTCTCTGACTGAGACGTTCTTCTCTTCTCTGGTACTTCACGCAATTCAGATCGGCCCCGAGCTGGTGCCAGTATCCCGACGAGCGACCGATGCGGACCGCTATCTCGATCAGCACTCTCCAAGCGCCCTCGACGCCAATCCGTGTCCAACCTGCCTCGGAGCTCTTGTCGTTATCCGCCGTCACGTTCCTGTCCGCCCTCCTGCGGCTACCGCGCACGCGCGGGCGCGTGCGGGTCGTGCACAGAGACTGGGAGCTGCAGCTAGTCCAGCTCCGCTACCATCTTCGCCTCTTTTGAACGCGATGGACTGCGGGCCAAGCTCAGAACTACGCAAGACGTTTCTCTCCTCCTAAACTCCGTTCTAGATCAAATCTGAAGCTCCCGTAGGTTTCGATGATCTCCTGAACTACAAGCAGGCCCCCTGGAAAACCGAACGCACACACACATACATACGTGTGTGTATATGTATATGTGTTATACATATATATATACATATATACATATATATATATATATATATATATATATATATATATATATATAAAAATATAACACGTAGCATCCCGCAGATGCGGATAAGACTGACGGGGCGGTGGTGACGTCGGCAGTCTGCGAGACTCTGGAAAAGCCCGCCGCAGGCGCCGATTTTTTCTTCAAACCAATGTGGATGGGTCGCGGGTGGGTCGCGGTCGCCGGTGGGTCGCGGTTGGTCGCGGGATGGGTCGCGGGTGGGTCGCAAGTGGGTCGCGGGTGGGTCGACGGTGGGTCGCGGGTGGGTCGCGGGTGGGTCGCGGGTGGGTCGCGGGGGGGACGACGACAACAACAACAACAAGCATAATCCTCACCACGGATCCCCACGTCAACCACGCACCCAGGGACAATGAATGACCGTTCGGCCCCTTCACTGTGACATATATAGATGCATAAATATGTATATTTATATATACGCATATATATATATGTATATCAACATACCCCTCTCTCTGTCAAAGTCCTAAGCTTTATGTCGTTTTCTCTCTCTCTCTCTCTCTTACATATTTCTCTCTCTCTCTCTCTCTTTTTCTCTCTCCCTCTCTCTCTCTCTCTCTCTCAGTGATCCCCCCTTGTGTATGTATGTATGTATGTCTGTATGTCTGTATGTATGTATGTCTGTATGTGCGTAGGTCAATACGTGTACCGTCGCACCCCGCACTTACGGATAAGAGTGAGGGGGCGGCGGGGACGTCGGCTGTCTGCGAGGCTTTGAAGATGCCCGCGGCAGGCGCGACAATTTTCAAGCTATACAACGAGCCCGCCTCAGGCGCCGATCTTTGTTAAAACAATGTAGGTGAATCGCGGGTTGGGTCGCAAGTGGGTCGCGGGTTGGGTCGCAACTGGGTCGCGGGTGGGTCGCGGGCCGGTTCGCGGGTGGGTCGGCGGTGGGTCGCGGGTGGGTCGCGGGTGGGTCGCGGGTGGGTTGCGAGCGGGTCGCGGGGTGGGTCGCGAGTGGGTCGCGAGCGGGTCGCGGGGTGGGTCCCGGGTGGGTCGCGAGGTGGGTCGCGGGTGGGTCGCGGGTGGGTCGCGGGGGGGACGACGACAACAACAACAATCATTTTAAGACTGTTCGCCCTTATATGCTCGAGTGTCCAATAACGCGTATTTCCCAAACCCTCGATACCCGCTCTCTTCGTCTTCGATCGAACCCGTTTTGAGAGGTATACCTTTCTTCCTTGCAGGCCGGGCCCCGGCAAGCGGCGGGGCGGCTGCGGACCGTCGGCCTGGCCAGCGGCAGCGCTGATCGGCGGGGCGGCCGCGGACCGTCGACCCGACCCCAAAAGGGACGAACAGGGGACCGACCACGACGACGACGACGACGACGACGACGACGACGACGACGTCGAAGACGACGGCGAGAGAACGAGAAAGAACGACAGCAGGGCCACGAAGGGCACGAAGTAGGCCACGAAGTGCGACAGCGGGGACACGAAGGGAATGCGTATGGGGCCACGAAGAGTGCGAACGAGCGGGGGCCACGAGGTGCAGATAATGCGGGGCCACAGA